GTTATTGTTCCCTGCTGGTTGGCATCCCAGGGAAGAGAGCAAGTACTGTAGAGTTTTGTGAAGTCAGGGGTTGTGGACCCTAAGCCTTAAACCCTATCCTTAACTAATTCTTCAGCCCTAAGTCTCAAACCCTCAAACCCTAACCCTTCAACCCTGAAACACTAAACCTTAAACCCTAAACCCTAAACCCTAAACCCTAAACCCTAAACCCTAAACCCTAAACCCTAAACCCATTTTCGCCAGCTCGGCCAGACCCTGACGGCATGCAGCAAGCAAGCGCCGAAGCCTAAACTGTAGTATCTTACGCCGGAATACTGTGAGTTCAAGTCCTGAACCCTCAAACCTAGGGGGCTTAAAGAGACCTAAAGCCTAAACCCCAAGCCCTAAGCCCTGAACCCTCAACCCTGAACCCTGAACCCTAAACCCCAAACCCTAAACCTTAAACCCTAAACCTTACACCCTAAACCCTAAACCCTAAACCCTAAACCCTAAACCCTAAACCCTAAACCCTAAACCCTAAACCCTAAACCCTAAACCCTGAATCCCTAAACCCTAAACCCTAGCCTATGAGGTGCAAGATGCCAGGCCTGCTGGGGAGGAGCTAACCGGGCTGCTAGAGACCCTGGCCGCGGCCTTAGCCCGAAGGCAAGCTACGTAGGCGCAGGGAAGGGTTTAGGGTTTAGGGTTAGGGTTTAGGGTTTAGGGTTTAGGGTTTAGGGTTTAGGGTTTAGGGTTTAGGGTTTAGGGCTTATAGGGCTTATAGGGCTTATAGGGCTTATAGGGCTTATAGGGCTTATAGGGCTTCTAGGGCTTATAGGGCTTTTAGGGCTTTTTGGGCTTATAGGGCTTATAGGGCTTATAGGGCTTATAGGGATTAGGGCTTAGGGCTTATAGGGCTTACTTAGGGTTCAGGGCCAGGCGTTAAGGTTCACGGTGTAGGGTTTAGGGTTAGACAGTACGTACCCGAAGGCTGGGGTCGTGTCTCTAGGCTTACCCTCTTTAAAGGGTTCTGACATTGGGTTCGATAGGGTATGAGGGCCCATATTAAGGGACCATGTAACTACCCTAAGGGAGTGACTCCGGAGCCGCTAAAGGGTCCATGCCGCGTGCGGGGTTTAGGGTGTAGGGCTTAGGGGTTAGGGCTTGTCCTCTGAACGGTCCGGCCCCGAAACTCTAGCCTTCACAACATCCCAAACTTGGAGGCTCATGGTACTTTTTAATCAAACTATAACTGTACTTATAAACATATTAGGGCACTTATGGGGCTTATAAGTACAGTGATAAGTACAGTTATAACTGGCTAATGAGTACCATGAACCTCCAAGAAAGCCCTAACTCGCCCAGGAGAGCAAGTGCCAAGACTGCGACAGGCAGCCGGGAGACGGTCTCTTGGGGGGGAACCTCCTGCGAGCGCACGATAGGGGGTGCGCCCCCTAAGTCTAAGCAAAAGGCGCACTCCCCGCGCACGTACGCTGATGCACGCCCTACACCCTACACCCTACAGCCTAAACCCTAAGCCCTAAGCCCTAAGCCCTAAGCCCTAAGCCCTAAGCCCTAAGCCCTAAGCCCTAAGCCCTAAGCCCTAAGCCCTAAGCCCTAAGCCCTAAGCCCTAAACCCTAAACCCTAAACCCTGAGCCCTAAGAAGCAGGCGACTCGCGCGCCTGCCGAAGCCGCGCAAGACAGCTCCCAGGCCGGAAGGGCATGTGGGGTTTTGGGGCTCTGGTTTGGGTTTGGGGTTTCGGGTTTAGGGTTTAGGGTTTGGGGTTTAGGGTTTAGGGTTTAGGGTTTAGGGTTTGGTGTTTAGGGTTTAGGGTTGAGGGTTTAGGGTTTAGGGTGCGGTTTAGGGTTTAGGGTTTAGGGTCTAGGGTCTAGGATTCTGGGTTTAGGGTTTAGGGTTTAGGATTTAGGCTAGGCCTTAGGGCTCTTGTAGTGTTTGAGGTATGCTGGTTTTGGGACTCGTCTGGCTTAGGGTTTAGTTGGGGTTTAGGGTTCAGGGTTTCGGGGCCTGAAGCCCTAGGCCCTAAAGCCTAAACTTGTCGGGTTAGGGGGTCATGCATGTAGGGTTTAGGGTTTAGGGTCTCTGGTTTACGGTTTGGGGTTTAGGGTTTAGGGTTTAGAGCTTCGGGGCTTCAGGGCTTCATTTCTGTGATGGACCTGTTGGCTTTTCGAGTCTGAACATGGAGGGCTCATCTTGGGGAATTTGGATTTTGTTTCTCATGTTGAAGCCCACGCATTCCTTGGGTGGCGCCGTGCGAGCTTCTTGTTGCGCGTGCGAAGCACGCGCAAAAGCCGATGCTCGGTGGAGTAGGTTTTTTGACCTTGCTGGCGATGTGACACGGCTTGTAGGTTGAAAACAGGATGACAAGTGCCCTCAGTTGTGGCTATCCTCATTAAAATCACCTCGGGGTGTTCTCAACGACCGGCCCAAAATGTTTTTCAGCATAGGCCTTAAACCCTAAACCCTATACCCTAAACCCTCAACCCTTTTCCTCAACCCTAAACCCTAAACCCTCAACCCTAAGCCCTCAACCCTAAACCCTAAACCCTAAACCCTCAACCCTCAACCCTAAACCCTAAACCCTAAGCCCTAAACCCTAAACCCTAAACCCTAACACCCCCGAGGCTGCACACTTCCATGCACTCTGCCGCGGCGAAAGCTGGCCTCCGCGCGGCGGAGGCCTTGGCACGCAGGTGGGACTCTCAGGGGCAGGAATCTTGGCCCTTAGGGTTTTGGGGGTTTAGGGAAGTTTAGGGTTTAGGGTTTAGGGTTTAGGGTTTAGGGTTTGGGGTTTAGGGAAGTTTAGGGTTTAGGGTTTAGGGTTTAGGGTTTCGGGCTTAGAGATTTTGCGCAGCTGTACACATCCCGCAAAGCCTTGAGTCCTGAACCCTCGAATGGCCCCCGACAGAGCCCAAGACCCAAAACTCCAAACCCAAAAGCCCGCAGCCCTAAACCCCAATCCCTAAATCCAAACCCCAAACCCCAAACCCCAAACCCCAAACCCCAAACTCCAAACCCCAAACCCCAAACCCTAAACCCTAAACCCTAAACCCTAAGCCCCAAGCCCCAAGCCCTAAGCCCTAAGCCCTAAGCCCTAAGCCCTAAGCCCTAAGCCCTAAGCCCTAAGCCCTAAGCCCTAACCAAACCCCAAACCCCAAACCCTAAGCCCTAAGCCCTAAGCCCTAAGCCCTAAGCCCTAAGCCCTAAGCCCTAAGCCCTAAGCCCTAAGCCCTAAGCCCTAAACCCTAAACCCTAAACCCCCAAACCCTAAACCCTAAACTCCCTAAACCCTACCCCAAAGCCATCAGGGGTTCCCCGAAAGATGACCCTGCCTCGAAGGCCCCAGCGCCGAGCGCGGGGTAGCCTGGACTCGGCTCCTGGCCGTGCCAGGCGCTGTGCGGTTTCGGGCTTATAGGGCTTGGGGTTGAGGGTTTAGGGTTTAGGGTTTAGGGTCTGGGGCTTTTAGGGCTTCTGGGGCTTCTAGGGCTTCTAGGGCTTCTAGGGCTTCTAGAGCCTTAGGTGGCGACAGCCCCTGCCAGCTCCGGAGCTGTCCCTTGGGCTCGGACTGTCCTCGGATTTAGGATGCAGGATTTGGGACTCTGACATTCTAGGCATTTGGGCCTGCAAGCCTCCTGCACTCCAAGGGCCTCCAGGGGTTTTCAAGGGATTCCAGGCGCGACCTTCTCAGACAGTTGTACTTCAGGCAAACAGAAGGCGTCCTAAAACACCCAGTTGGCTGGAGGGCCCCCTGATCGCCCGAGCCCCGGATAAACCTTCTGGAAAGGGTCTGTTGGAGGAGACCCCAAGACACGTTTGGAAGCCGTGAAAGACCCTATACATTCCTGTAGGCTGTAGACCAAGGCTTTGGGACCCCAACGCACAAACCCAGAAAGTATCATGATGCTTCTCACTTTTGTGTTAAGACACAGGCACAGACTGGAAGCCCCCAGCATCAGAGCATTTCGAGTATTGCTCATGAGGCGAACAGCGCGAAAAGCAATTTGGAAAATCAACGCCCTCAACCCTACCCAGGTCATAGGTTGGGTGGGCGGGTTGGGAGGAGAACGTGAGCCTTGGCACACACCACAACACACGTCAGCATGTGACACACCCTAGGTCTTAAACCCCTACACCCTTCGGTTTAGGCTAGGGTTCAGGCATGTCTTTGGGGCTAAGGTCTAGGGTCCGTCGCCTCGTGCCAGGTTTGTCGAGCTGGAGCAGGAGAGCCCTAAGCGGCGGCGTGCTGGCATGACCTGAGCTGTTTAGGGTTCAGGGTTAGGGGTTTCTACGGGCCTCCCTAGCACTTATGTTTGTGCTTTAACTTTCCAGGCAAGTATGAATCGTGTGAAACGGTTGTGGCTTTATGTGAGACGTCAGGTTCTGTTTGGCTTTTTTGGCCGGCGTGTGCGTAGGTTACCAGCCTTAAGCCCCACGAATCATACTTTTCCTGTCCAGCGCGCCCTTGGCACCTGACAAAGAGCAAAAGCACGTTTCACCTGCTGTGCGCACCACTTCTGAGAAGAAAGGCCCACATCCGTGGTTGGGTTTAGGGTTTAGGGTTTAGGGTTTAGGGTTTAGGGTTGAGGGTTGAGGGTTGAGGGTTGAGGGTTGAGGGTTGAGGGTTGAGGGTTTAGGGTTTAGGGTTTAGGGTTAGAGTTTAGGGTTTACGGCTTAGGGTTTAGGGTTTAGGGTTTGCTTTCTTTTGAAGGAGTCAGGGGCACTACGCCGAAACCCCGAGCCACTCAGATACCCTCTACAACTCGTCAAAAGGTCCGTGGGGGACCAGCAAGCACAGCTCAGAATAGTTGCGACCTGTGCGGCCTTGATTGGGAGGTTAGGGCTTCGGTTTTGGTGGTGTCTGGGGTCTGCGCGGCGTGTGGCAAGCGTGGTCTGTGTAAACACCTCTTACTCATCTCGGTTGTGCCATCTTGCTTTTTACCAATCTTAAACCCTAAACCCTAAACCCCAAACCCCAAACCCTAAACCCTGCACCCCGGCCAGTCTCCTGGTATGGAAGCCGGCAGCATCATCATTGAGCTCAAGGAGAAGAGGCCGCCAGATGTCGAAGCCTCTTTAGCTTTGGGCAAATAGCTTGCTCGAATTGCTCCCTAAACCCCTAAAAACTCTAAACCCCTAAACCCCAAAACTATCCAACAATCCTTCAACCTATGAGCCCCAGAGCTTCCTGTAACAAAATCCCTAAACCGCTTAAAACTCTAACCGCTAAACCCCTAAACCCCTAAACCCCTAACCCCCCCAACTTCTAAACCCTGAAGCCTTAGGCTGTGGGCTTCGGGCGTGATCGGCTTGGGGGTTCGGGGTTTAGGGTTTAGGGTTTAGGGTTTTGGGTTTAGGGTTTAGGGTTTAGGGTTGGGGGTTGAGGGTTTAGGGTTTAGGATTTAGGGTTTAGGGTTTGGGGTTTGGGGTTGAGGGTTGCTCTGGGTGCAGGGTTCAGGGTTGAGAGCTTCGGGTTGAACGTTGAGGGTTGAGGGTGTAGGGTTCAGGGTGGGGGGGTCGAAAACCCGAACCCTAAACCCTCAACCCTCAACCCTAAACCCCTCAACCCTCAGCCCTGAACCCTAAACCCAAAACCCAAAACCCAAAACCCAAAACCCTAAACCCTAAACCCTAAACCCTAAACCCTAAACCCTACCCCTGAGTCCCTTCCAAGGGTCAAGTCCTAGAGGCATCCCCTCTTCGCACGCCTGGGAAACGAGGTGCCCAGTCCGAACAAGTGCAGGGTTTCTCCGCAATAGGGCTGAGGGTTTCTTTTGTGCAGGATTTTGGGTTTGAAGGTTTAGGAGTTTAGGGTTTAGAGTTTTGGGGAGTTTAGGGTGCAGGTTTGAAGGTTTAGGGTTTAAGGTTTAGGTTTAAGAGTTTTGGGGTTGAGGGCTAGCAGTGTAGACCAGGGTTTTGATTTTTTAGGTAGGCCTCCTGGCAACAACTCTTGATCCCCAGAGCTCCCGGAGCTTGCGGAGTCAACTCGCTACTTGAACCTAGACCCAAAAGCCGAAAGCTTCAACCCTAAAGCCTCAGGCCTAAGGCCTAAAGCCTAAAGCCTAGAGCCTAAAGCCTAAAGCCGAAAGCCTAAAGCCTAAAGCCTTAAACCCAAGGCCTAAGGCCTAAAGCCTAAAGCCTAAAGCCTAAAGCCTAAAGCGTAAGGTCTAAGGCCTAAAGCCTAAAGCTTAAAGTAGAGGGTGGGGCTTTAGGACTCGAGCTTAGGTTTCAGGCTTCGAGAGAAGAATTTGGGGCTCAGGGTTCAGGGTTCAGGGTTCAGGGTTCAGGGTTTAGGGTTTAGGGTTTAGGGTTTAGGGTTTAGGGTTCTCAGTGAGTCCCAAAACTCCACAGCGGCCTGCAGGACTTGCTGGTGACCCAGCGCGTTCCGAATCGGCCTGAGTCTGCGGAAGCTTAGGTTCTAAACCCTAACCCTAAACCCTAAACCCCAAACCCTAAACCCTATAAACCCTATAAACCCTATAAACCCTATAAACCCTATAAACCCTATAAACCCTATAAACCCTGTAAACCCTATAAGCCCTATAAACCCTATAAACCCTATAAACCCTAAACCCTAAATCCTACAAACCCTAAACCCTATAAATCCTAAACCCGTCGCCCGAAACCCTAATTCCTAAACCTTCGGCCTTGGGCTTAAGGCCCAAGTTTTACAGCCTGGGCCTAAACCTTTCTTGGAAAGCCCTCAGATTGTTTGATGTGTGCTGGATTGAGTCATTGAGAGTCTAGTGATGGTAGACATGCAGTGGGCAGAGTTGTAAAACCCCAAACTGCACCACGCCTATATGGTTTGTAAAGCCTATAGGGCATGAACCCTAAACCCTAAACCCCAAAACCTAAACCCCAAACCCTAAACCCCAAACCCCAAACCCTAAACCCCAAACCCTAAACCGTGCAGCGCCCGCCCCATCAAAGCCCATATAGTAGCCCAAATCCCAAAACTTCAAGCCCCGAGGCTGTGAATGAACCGCAAGCCAACAATCCTTCCCCTTGGGGATTTAGGGTTGAGGGCTTAGGCTTTAGGCTTTTAACCCTAAGCCCTGAACCCTAAACCCTAAAGCCCAGTATTGAAGATGGCCCTCAGGCTTCTCGATGCGCTTTGCGGCGTTCACGTCCGGGTCAAGTGCGCCACACCGGACGTTTGGGGTGTTTGGGCTGTTGACAGGGTGGTTCCTTAATATGGGTTTAGGGTTTAGGGTTTAGGGTTTCGGGTTTAGGGTTTAGGGTTCAGGGTTTAGGGTTTAGGGTTCAGGGTTTAGGTTTTAGGGTTTAGGGCTTAGGGCTTAGGGCTTGGAGTTGAGGATTCAGGGTTTACGGGCATTGTGGGTTAGATGGGGTTGTCGGTCCAAAGATCCCGAGGCTGAAGATTTGGGGGTGGCCTACTTGGAGGTTCATGGTACTTGCTGACCAATTATAACTGTACTAAAAACTGTACTTCTAACCATATTGGGGCAGTTAAGGGGCTTATAAGTGGGTTATAAGTACGTACACTTATAATTGGTTAATGAGTACCATGAACCTCCAAGTACAGCTTGAGCTTGAGCTTATTGGTGACGGGAGAGGGGAGGGGAGGGGGGGTGGAACCCTAAACCCAAAACCTTAGGCTCTAAACCCTATACCCTAAACCCTAAACCCTAAACCCTAAACCCTAAACCCTAAACCCTAAACCCTAAACCCTAAACCCTAAACCCTAAACCCTAAACCCTAAACCCTAAACCTAACCCTAAACCCTAAACCCTAAACCCTAAACCCTAAACCCTAAACCCTAAACCCTAAACCCTAAACCCTAAACCCTAAACCCTAAACCCTAAACCCTAAACCCTAAACCCTAAACCCTAAACCCTAAACCCTAAACCCTAAACCCTAAAGCCTACATGCCCTAATTTTCAGGTGGAGTTTTCAAACCCTGAGCCCCTAAAAAAGCCCAAAGGGTTTAGGGTTTCATGCCTGGCGGAAACCGACTAGTTCGGGCAAGGGTCTAGGGTTGCTGTAAATTCACGAGTTTTTCGGACCAAAACAACACACTGTCTCCTTAAGCCTCTTTAACCCGTTAAGTCCCTTTAGCCACTTAAAACCCCTAAATCCGTCCACCCCAAACCCCAACCCCCTGGAAGCCCCTTGATGCTGTGGTCGCCGCTGTCATTGGCCCTGCGGCTCCTGGCAGGAACGCTTGAAATGGAGGGTTTCAGGTTTAGGGTTTAGGGCCCAGGGTTTAGGACCAGTCTGGTGCTTCGTCTCCCGACCCCCCAACCCCAACGTGGGCGCACCAAATCTCTGAACGCTTCGACCTCCAGCCTCACGTCCTACAGCAGCCCCTGACACCCTGAGCCTGGGTGTAGGGGCTTAACCTCTTAGAGGGCCTGGGGGTTTCAAGTAGCCCCTAGACCCGAAGCTCGTCAACCCCCAACCACACCCCTAAACCCTAAAACCCTAAACCCTAAACCCTAAAACCCTAAACCCGAAACCCGAAACCCTAAACCCTAAACGCCCTAAAGTGTTTGGAGCCAGCGGGGCATGGCGAGATGGGCCCCGCGGTGTCCCACTTAGGCTGCAGCCCTTTGGCCTGGTTTAGGGTTTAGGGTTTAGGGTTCAGGGTTTAGGGTTTAGGGTTTAGGGTTCAGGGTTTAGGGTTTAGGGTTTAGGGTTCATGGTTCAGAGGGTTTTGGGTGTTTTGGGCGCTTTGGGGCTTAGATGTGCTTACGATTTAGGGGGCTTTGTGAGCATGTAGCCTGCGAATAGAAGCTCGACGTTTCTCGGTTGTGGGTCCAGGGTACGGACGGGCGGAAGTACAAGAGGGGGTTGTAGCAAAGGGAGGCTAAAATAGTAGAAAAGCATGTCGCGAGAGCGGTGGTGGTTGTATAGGGAGGTTGATGGAGATGAAGGACGTTGTGGAGGTGCTGAGTATGCTGTAGAAGGTGGAGGAGTTGAGGAATGGGGAGGTGTTGATAGTGGAGATCGAGGTACTTAAAGCTGCTATTGAGGAACTTTAGTAGTAGTAGAAAAATGAGGGTGAAAATTAGTCATCGATGAAGATGGAAATTGAAGAGAAAGACCAACCTACTAAACCCTAAGCCCTAAGCCCTAAGCCCTAAGCCCTAAGCCCTAAGCCCGGAAGCCCTAAACCCTAGCCCTTAGCCCTTAGCCTCAGCCCTAACCCTAAACCCTAAACCCTAAACCCTAAACCCTGAACCCTGAACCCTGAACCCTGAACCCTGAACCCTGAACCCTGAACCCTGAACCCTGAACCCTGAACCCTGAACCCTGAACCCTGAACCCTGAACCCTGAACCCTGAACCCTGATCCCTGAACCCTGAACCCTGAACCCTGAACCCTGAACCCTGAACCCTGAACCCTAAACCCTAAACCCTGAACCCTGAACCCTGAACCCTGAACCCTGAACCCTAAACCCTAAACCCTAAACCTGAAGCTCCGCAAGCTCCCGAAACTCCCTAAGCTCCGAAGACTCCCTCAGCCATCAGAGGACCCCACGCTCCACACCCTAAGGTTCCCTCAAAGCCCTCAGCCTCACCGTCTAGGGTGGCTCGCCCGGAGTCATATGCTCTTGTCAGGCTGTGAAAAGGCCGAATGCTGCAAGATCGTGGAGGCAGGAAGTGCTGAGTTTAGGAGGGACCTGCACCTGCCCCAGCCTTGAACCCAAAGCCAAGATTCTTCTGAAAGGGTTTCGGATGTAGGGTCTAGGGTGTAGGGTTTCGATGGGGATTTCTGTTCCTTCCTTCACTCTGCCTGTCCCGGTAGCAAATTGCCTTAAGTTCCATTTGCTCAACAGGTTCCTGATTGTAAATTTGCCCTTAAGAACGAGCAGCTTAATCCCTTCCACCGAAGATTAGCACTCCCCCCACCCTTAACACTCCCATAGTATTGGGGCATTTACTTTGAGGGGCTACAGGGGGAACCCTGCTTGTGCTTTGTGAGCTCATTGTAGCGAACTCTGCACCGCGAGCCGGTGTAGGGTTTGGCGGGATCCTGGCTGCTTCAGGGTTTAGGGTTTAGGGTTTAGGGTTAGGGTTTAGGGTTTAGGGTTTGGTTTTTAGGGTTTAGGGTTTAGGGTTTCGGGTTAGAGGGTGGAGAAGCGATCTATTCGAACCTGCCCGGCCCCCCACCCCCCCCAGCAAAAACAAATGTAGGATCGCTTTGGAGATAGTGCCGTGCTCTCGGGAAACAGCAGCACCGCTAGCAGAAGGCGGAGAAGAGAATTCCCACCCCCTTCAAACAAAAAACAAAAAAAGCAACACAAAATATGTGTATATATATATATATCTATGTATGTATGTATGTATGTATGTATGTATGTATGTATGTATGTATGTATGTATGTATGTACGTATCTATGTATGTATGTATGTATGTATGTATGTATGTATGTATGTATGTATGTATGTATGTATGTATGTATGTATGTATGTATACATATATATATACACACCAAAAAGCAACCCTCAACCCTCCAAGACCCCGCCCCGGCTTGGCAGCAGAGGAAGCTCGCTACCTGGGGGGGGGGGGGGGGTGGGTTTAGGGTTCAGGGATTAGGGTGCACAGGATGTTGCCAGGCAGCAGAGGATCTGGGATTTCGGCCCCCCCCCCCCAGCACATCGCCTCTTGCGCCAGCTGCCGGGCGAAAACGACGGCGACATAAGGTTTCAGCTTGGTGAGGCAGGAGGGTTTGGGGTTTGGGGTTTGGGTTTTGGGGTTTGGGGCTTGGGGGTTTTGGGGTTTGGGGTTTGGGGTTTAGGGTTTGGGGTTTGGGGTTTTGGGGTTTGGGGGTTTTGGGGTTTGGGGTTTGGGGTTTAGGGTTTGGGGTTTAGGGTTTGGACCGAAACCCTGAAACCCCAGACGCCCTTGAGCGCTAAAGTCAGAGGGCCCTAACATCCTCAAAGCTTGAAGGCCCCCAAAAGCCCCGCCAGAAGCCCTGAGGCCCTAAACCCCAAACCCTAAACCCTAAACCCCAAACCCTAAACCCTAAACCCTAAACCCTAAACCCTAAACCCTAAACCCTGAACCCTATATCCTAAACAAGGGGTTCAGGTCGAAGATTTCAGCCCCCAGTGGCCACAAAACCCTGCATAATTGCATAGCCTTAAACCCTTGACCCTAAACCCCTAAACCCCTAAACCCCTAAACCCCTAAACCCCTAAACCCCTAAACCCCTAAACCCCTAAACCCCTAAACCCCTAAACCCCTTAACCCCTAAACCCCTAAACCCCTAAACCCCTTAACCCCTAAACCCCTAAACGCCTAAACCCCTAAACCCTACGCCCTACCTATAACATACTTACTAGGGCTGAGTCTTTGCTTTCAGATGGGTTTTGTTCTGGTTCTTAGTACCCTGTAAAGTTCTGTACAGGGAATATGAAAATTCAGAATAAGGGGGGAAACCCCTATTTTTGTTTTGAAACCAAGGACGAAGCCCCCATTGAAGGATAAGCGCTTTTCATTATGCATGACATGCAGGAGGTTTTGTTACTTGTTGCGGTTGAGAGTGCCAGGACAACCTTCGAAAAGCAACTTCGGGGGCGTTCAGCCAGTCGTCTTCGCCGTCTTCGCCCTCGAAAAGGCGCTGGGTTCGGGGGCGTTCAGGACTTTTGGTGGTTATACCCTAAACCCTAGACCCGAAACCCTAAATCCTAGACCCGAAACTCTAAACCCTAAACCCTAAACCCTAAACCCTAAACCCTAAACCCTAAACCCTAAACCCTAAACCCTAAACCCTAAACCCTAAACCCTAAACCCTAAACCACTTCGGGCTCAACGCAGGCTTGGGTTGTTCGTGCTCAGCAATGTTGCCCCTGACGCTAAACCCAAAGCTCTAAGCCCAATAGCCCAAAGACCCTGAACTTCCCCCGAACTCTGAGTTTTCAACCTTAAATCCTCAACCTTCAACCCCATCTTGAGATGGGAAACCCTAAAGCCTAAACTCTAGACTCTAAACCCTAAGCCCCAAAACCCTAAACCTAAACCCTAAACCCTAAACACCCTAAACACCCTAAACACCCTAAACACCCTAAACCCTAAACCCTAAACCCTAAACCCAGGAGAGTCCAGCTCCGGTCTGCCACCAAAGAGTACCGCTACGACGCGGAGCATCAGAGACCTGTCGGCTTTTCA